ATTTGAGTTGACGCTTTGATTCGGCCATCATTGATCACCTATCCATCACCTATCGCCGCACTTATTTAAAATTTGTTGAGGTGGAGGGGGAAACCCAAATCACGCAAAACAGATATGCGTGAAAAACTGAATATTGATGAAACAATCTATGAAATGAGTGGAGCAAATAAGTTGTTAAGAAAATGCGAGCCTCATTTGCACATGCGATCTCTCTACAACCACCACCATCTACACGTTTTCTCTACCCAATTTTTGGGTCGTTTCATGTTGACCTTTCTCGCGTGTCCACAACTATTTTACTTTGGGTGTGGATATGTGTGTTTCGATGTTGAAAATGAAAGAGCGTTACAAAAATGACGTGGAGAAGTTTTAAATAAGTGCGGTGATAGGTGATAGATAGGTGATTCAAATGATAGCCGAAACAAAGCGCTAAGCTAAATTAGTAAGAAAAACGTTTCAGGAGCTTTTATTGGGATGGAAGCACGTTTTGCAAAAGCAAAAACGTCAGGGGAAAGCAAACCTTCACCGCTCACCTTAAGAGGGAGAGCACTGCTACTACGCCACGGGGACCTTTGTAGCCTCTGAAGGCAGCTGGGCTTATCAACTGGCACTATGTCTCCATGCTTTAAAGGCACTGTTCACGAAAAAAATGGTTTCGGAGATCTGCACATGGTTTGAATTCGACGCCCCCTCTGATACCATTTGTGCAGGAATGAGGTTGGAAAACGGTCTGGATAGGGCACAATAAGGGCAGGACCAGTGGGGGACGGGAGGCCTCCGCCCCTCGCTAGGCTGACTACGAAATCTAATTGCCGTTCATCACTTTCGCATTGGGCAAAGTTGTCTGCTTGGGTGTGTTGTTTGCTATTGCAGACATTGCGTCGCCTTCCTGCACTCGGCCGAACACTCCCTTAATCGCCGTTCTTCCAATGTGAAACTCGTCCAACCCCCCTTTCCAGCTCTTTTTTGACCCTTTCTATTTCTTTTTGTTCATCGTTTTTTGCGCTTTTTTCGTTGTTATCGCCTTATTCTAGAGTAGTTCTATGAATTCCCGTCAAAAAGGGGTACCCTAAGTTTATCGTAAACGGTGCCTTTAAGCATGCAAACTTTGAACGCTCACAACTTTGTTGGTAGACTCATTTTGCAGTTTTATTTTCCCTATTTCTTAATAACTTTCAAAGCCCTATCGATATACCTAGGTCTCCACTCAAAGTTCCATGGGAAGTTAAAACCCTTCCCTGGTTAGCTCTGACCGAGCAATATCTTTTCGCCCTTTCACTTTACCAGGCCCATCCCGACTCTCTCATCAAGCTCCCAAGCACAGTCTGCAGCTGACATGGGAGGTTAATGAATCGTGCAATTATTTTTTTCATAGCCCTAGCTGACAAATGGCATCTGCTAATGTATCCAGGTACCTGGCGTCCCACAGCAGCCACATAAATGGCATACGCAAGTGCGCTAGCGTAATAAGCATTTGGCGACGCCAGCCACCAAGTATCTTACAACCTCATCTACGAAATATCTTTGTCCATAACCGCCGCTAGTACACCCATTATATCCTCCATATCAAGCGAAAGGGCAAATGTGATTCATATAATACGTAACAAGAACGATGCATAATGATGATGAGTGGTGCAAATGGCGTAGTGGACTCCTGGCCGAAAGCAAAACGCCTCCAAATGCCAAAGCAACTAAATGACTGAGAGCTAAGAACGGCGGACGTTTTAGCTCCCAGCTCTCCAAATAATTACTCTATGTTGGTTCTTTAAATATATAAAGGCTTGCGATATTCGGGCAATTTCAGCGTGAAGAGCAACCAGCGGATCATTCTTGAATGTAGTATGTTCAGTTGGAAAAAGACGGCTCGTTGCTGAACAGTTCACCGCGGCCTTAGCTGTAACATTGATACATGAGTTGGGCCGATTCAGCGGCCTAGCTCCCCGGCATATGCTCTTCGCAATAGTTCCCACGTGTTCTGAGACAGTACGTTAATCAGCCAAATTGGAAACTGCGGCCGAAATTCTCCCAACAAATCAAATGGCGATAAGGATGGCAGTTGGTGAGAACCTCCCAACCTCCCTCGTGAGGCCGACCTGCTTTTGCGGAACTGAAACCAATTCACCACAATTTCCAGCTATACGACATGTGAAGAGCGATGATAATTTCCGCGGTATTGGAACAACGTATTGCATCCAATTGTTGTTCGAGAAAGGAACGGTAGTCTTGTTCAGCTAAGTATCCGCATTACGGAGTCTCGCAAGCCAAAAGCCATCGAATATGTGTGCTATGAGCGCTCTCGATGTTACACTTGGAACATCATCTGAGGTAACGTAACTAAAGTAACTAATCGAGATTTCAACAACTGTTGAAAAATGATCGCCCTATTCCTACCTCAGCTAGGAGCCTGAAGTGATGTGCCCGATGCCAAGCTTTGGTCAGCCTTTCTCTGACTGTACTCGCACGTCGTGTTCTTATTATGGAGACCTTCTGAGCTACTCATCCCCTACCAACGGAGGTACACGTTTACCTTCTGTCTCGCACTAGACTGTACATTTCAGGTAGGTACCAGGAACCATAACGGGTGCTAATTTCTGAGGCGAGTCATGGCGGCTCCAACTCTCCAGCACGCGGTAGAACACCATACGCCGCCTAAAGACAGGAGCCCGCAACACACAAATCACGACTACTGGGTTTCTCATCCGAATGAGGTATTCTAGGAGGTGAGCGTGGCAAAACACAAAGTATTCGGGCATAAAATATTGACATTACAACGCAGATGAAATTACTACTGCTGATAAAAGTAAAATGAAGGAATAAACATCTGGGGGCATGCACGCGTGAAAGTATTTAACATAAAAAATACAGAGAACTGAACACACCGTTTCGTCTTTAGATTTTATTGCGGTATAAAAGAAGCCATTGATCTTTAAAGCTCCTGCGCTGTCAAAGGAATCTCCCTGAAATCACGACAATGAGTTTTGAATGAAGTCAAGACAGAAACCCCCATTTCAACACTTCCGTATCTTCAATCAGATATTAAAGTACCAGAATTTTCCTCAGCTTCGTGCTGCTCTCATCTGCAGGAAGGATCTCAGCCTCGATTTCATCTGGATCTTTCTTATATGTTGACCCAGCTCTACGCTTTCGTCCTCGCCTATTTGCCTTCTTTTTTGTGGTAACACTTTCCCAAGCATCGACAAAAGGCTGAAAATGACAGATAAGGATAATTTGTAACTATTACTGGGAAGGTTATGTCCATTCCCAAATTACTTAACAACCTCAAAACGTATTTTCGGGTGACACAAATAATGGCGAGCCATGGAATGAATTAAAAAATTACCGTGCTTAGTTTTGCTGTAAAAATTGCAGACGACACTCCCCCATAAACCACTCCGCCGCCACCTTTCATTGCATTCGGACCACAACAGGAGACTCCTTTCTGAAAAGAACACTAGAGTTAGAAGAAGAACAGCAGAATGAGTTCTAAAAAATTACTGTTATGCAAGTGCAGACGCTGGAGAGATGTATGGCAAGATAGCAAGACTGAGACCCCAGATGGGATAAGAGATGTTCCCTGAAATGTTGGTGGTCACGAATAAATAAAGGTCGTTCGGATTACAGGCTCTTTTAGTTCGAAGTTTTCGAATTGTTATTGAAACGGACACCTATGGCATTCATTTTGCATACATCTATTGGTTGATGGAAGCTGTTCTGGAAATTTGATGCTCAGTATCATGTATGTATAGTATGGGACCAATAGACGCAAACGCGGTGGATGTGCCCAATCCAGGAGACCCAATGTGTTCTTATTGAAACCGTTGATGAGACGGATTCTAATGACTTGCCAGCTGCCAAAAAAGTGATTTTTTCTACAAGGAGAGGCATCTGTATGCTTCGCGTTCCCACACATTGCTATGTTTCGCTTCTTCCTACCTACGGGAGAGCAAAACAACAACTGGAAGGAAAGAAAAAAATATGGCTTGTAGAAGCAAAATTATAACCCCGTTGAAGAGAGCTGTCACACTAGTGCCTTGGCAACGGTTGCGTCGAGTCTTTGGAATGTAGTTTCAGTGCTAATACGCGATGGTTCTTTACTGCCATGAATAGTCTTCACCCACTTGACGTCACTATAACTTCAGAGAATTCCCAGCTCAGCAAAATTATTCATATTAAGAGATAAAGATAAAGTCCAGGGGCGTCAATCACTCTTATCTGAGGGAATCGCCCACGCACTCCATTTCCATTCGAAATCGTAGTGGCGTGTGGCCTATACAATCCCTTGAAGCGGCTAGCCGATGCATCAGCCAGTGCTTCTATCCTCCCACACGACTTTGAAACCATTTAAACGATCGCGAAGGGATGGAAGGCTTGGTTGGCCTGGGCGGGCATCTGTACGGGACTCGACCTCCTGACCGTGCGTGTGAGATAGTGTGCCACTTGCCACTACTCCACTTAAGCCTATTGATTCAAAATGATCGCAGGCAAAGGCGCTCTATCCAGGGAAAACAAGGAATAAAGACGTAATAAAGGCAGCGACATGTAGGTTACCAAGGAGAAGCTGTACCACCAGCCACATGCAGAAATTCTAGAGCACTCCGGAGGATTTTGACAGCAAGGGGAGGATCGAAGAAAACGAAATGTTGTTTGCCAACACTTTCCTGGTCACATACACATACATATACACTTACGCACATTCTCCATGTTCTTTTCGCTGCTGAGAAAACCCTAACGAATGGTATTACTCTAAGTCATCAGTAACAACTTTGGCAAGCAATGTAGAGAACGTGGTTGTAGAAAGTTTGTTTCAAAGTCAGCAAGAGGGACTTCAACAACAGCTTGAGAGTAAACCACGGTCAGGGTAAGACGTCCTCCATTTTCATTACTTCTGGCGTGAATATTCCCGAAAGCATCCGCAACGAACTGAACGGATGGCGCAAACGGGCCAATCTCATTCAAGAAGTTGCACACCTCATCCACCAGATTTCGTCATCATTTATGCAAAACCATCCTTTCGGTAAGATCTTGTTTCTGTTGACCTCTTAAAGTGTTCACTATTGAAACAAAAGCTTTCGACAACGTCGTTTGGCTCGCCATTGAAATCTGCATTGGAAACAAATCGAGGAAATAGATGATGGTCACATGCATCCAACCGCGCAACTTGTGAGCGCTTCGAAAAGAGTTTTGGTTCTGTCTCGAACCTATGAAGATTGTTTGGAGAATGATTGCTGGTTGTTTGGAACGAAGTGGTTGCGTGTGATCTATTAAAGTTGCACTAAAATTATTTACTTCTTTAAGTTTACGTTTCATGGCATGCATCTCATTAAGACTGAGTAATTGTAATTGTAAATAAACCTTCACTTCTATGAAAAATTACCTCCAATTTTGAGCGTGATTCGATTATGTACTATGCTATTGAAAGGTTATGTAGTGTGTTATGAAACATTTAGCTGACCTGATACAATACACAGTCTTTCACCACTGAATCATTTTCATTCGGAAATGAAAAAATTGAGATGTATGTTTGAAGTGATATGAACCAACCCTATTGGTACCCTTCCTACTTGGAAAATGCGTTGTACATCTCAGAACTTACCTGAAGAAAGCTTCTTGACAGAATTGCATGCTGCATTCCGGACAGCGTTTCTTCCTGCACCCTTCATGGGTTTCGAAGTGTGATTCTAATGATACGACACTGTCGAAATTACTTTCACCGCAGTGAGGGCAGACAACTTCTACATCTAAATCGTAAAAATCGAAAACGTTTTGGTCCTATTCAAAAAGCGAAAAATAACCTTTCACTATTGATGTTAAGGTGAGTACTCGTAAGCGCACTTTTTGGGAAAGTTCCACTTCGGAATAGATAACTACTGGAACAACTTTTTCGAGATTATGGAGTGTCTAAAAGTAACATTTTTTCAGGACAAATGTGACATGACGTGAAGAATTAGAATTAAAAGCTTCTAGCATTTTTAAAGTGGTAACTTGAATTACATGAAATTTGACTATTTCATCCCAGTGTGCGATCGAAGATTCTCCAATATAAGTAGAAGAAATGAGAATTTGCGACCCACAGTCAGCACAAGCCAACAACATAATGGCATACTTCATTTTGAGCTGAAGGTAAATTGCAAGTTGCGAACTCAGATTGAAACAAACAAAGAAGGCATTATTGAAAATGAACCTAAACTGTCATTATTATCTCTCTCACCTCCACATCGCCTGAAGGACTTATTCGCTGCACCAGCGCAGTAGCGAAGTCTGCACACCCATCATGTGTTTTGAGGGCCTCCAAGGATAGGAAAACTATTCCACAAAAATGGCAGGCGTAGAAATGGGCACAGGAGTGATGCTCCAACATATGTCCCTGCAGTTAACAATAATCGTCGGCAGCAACTTCAAAAAATTCGTTTACTTCGTTAAGTCAATCTGAACAATGACATCCGACACAACGCTTCTAATCATTGCATCACAATTTCATGGCGCGTATGGATTAAAAAAGTTCTTAGGTAATTGAGACACTGAATAGCTGAGAAAATTAGGTGAGGTTTGGGTTTATTGAGAGAACTGCGTTTTCGAGCCAATTGCAGTGCAAACAGGATCAGGTAGACATAAATGTTCGAAAGTTTGGTAATGGCTAGTCCAAAAACCGGTAAGTTCTGAACAGGAACTGTTTAGTAGCATTCATACGCTTTAACAATGACCTTCCAGACTTAACAATACTGCTAGAACAATTTCAACAAATACCTTCAAGAGAAAACGTGGTACACTAATTTCGGAAGTTACACATCGCAAAAACGCCGAAGTATGGCTGATAATCAATTTCTATCTTTCAACCAGCGACCAACTCTCGCCGAAACGGAGAGATTTGGATAGCAAGCACAACGCCCACGCCGCATTCTCGCAATGGCGATTTTAGCTAGCGGTGAAAGTTCTATGGCCATTATACTGTCCGCGTATCTCACCTTTGATAGGCAAGTTAATTATAATGGACTAAAGAAAACAGAAACAGTAAGAAAACAAAGCTTCTGGAGAAGAACAGTTCCTCATCAAGAAAAATTTCAACAGCACTAGTTTAAAAGTTACTGTCGTGTGCAGGTGGAATGTGAAACTGGAACGAATATTCGTTCATCTGCTCAACCCTTGCATAGACGGTGTAATTGTTTAGTACTGAGGCCCCCTTAAAAGTTCCCCCAATAATTTCAGGCCAACAGCTGGATCTTTTCTCTTACAGACTCTCTCTCTCTTCAAAGACTTCAGGCCGAATTTGACTTGAAGAGGTCAGAAGTCTAACATGTGAGTGCTTTAGATGCAACTGATAACTGCTTGAGACCTTACTATGCTAAAGACACATTCTACTGCTTCCGATCTCCCCTGATATCCTCCGATTGTAACAAAATCAGATGAGCAGCCCATGTAAACCATTACCTCCACTGTATAACTACTCAGTCCTGCAAAAGGAGCCCCAACACACAAAATGTGTTCTGCGGAAGTCGCGAAAAATAATAAACATGGAAGCAAGTGACCTCCCAATTCAGAAATTCGACACAAACAGGTTTGAATTCGTAACGAACAATACCTTCTGAGTTTAAAAATAGCTATCCATTTCCCTTGTTTTTATCCTTATTGAAAAATCTTTGTTGCGCCATTCTCAACTGTGCAAGATTTTAGAATAAAAATAGCTATCCATTTCAAATATTTTATCCCTTCTGAAAAATTTGTGCTACGCTATTAAACTTATTAAAATGAGAGCTAATGCATAAACCTCTGTTACACGTGATTTTCTAAAGCATCTAATTCGAGAGGTTTAGTTGATTGATCTGATAAATGGTGAACATTGTCACCACCTTCGTTCAAATAAGACTGCCATTAGACGGTAATACCATTCAGTTAAGGGGAAATGACCACATCACTTGAAGCATATTAATGTAAAAGTGTTTAGATATCACTCGAAAGATAGTTGTTACCTGATAGTGCGCTGTATTTGTAATCTTGTCCGAAGTGACTGGACAGAGAGGACACAGAATTCTTCTGGACTCAAGGGCTTCGTACCTGAACATGACCTTGACTCATTTCACATGCCGTTTTCTGTAGCCATTTCTGTGTCAACATCTACTTATATAGATATAATGCGGTAACTTTGTGGCTCTGTTAGTATGTCGGTTTCTGCTCCCGTAGATAGTCATGTAGGCACGATGAGAATTGCGAAATGTCGCGCGTGCGCTTGCCAACGGGGGTCAAGAACACGTTTGAAATAGGAAGTCTACTGATACTGTTCATATTGATCTGACAGACCAAAACTGCTCACTCGGTGATGTGTTGCACGCGTTAGCGCAGGCATCAACTAATATTACTGACGCGCTTGCTTATGGATAATATTCAGAATGAAGCTATGGATTCAATTTTTGATGATGTTCGCTCTATTTCAATAAACAAAAAATTCTATTCACTTCAAATTATTAGGCTGACAGGGAAGTTCTTCCTAGAGAGGGCTTCTCGAATTCACCAGTGGAACATTCTAGAGAATACCATACACACATTTACTGAAGAGATCCACAAGATTCTCCTTTCATTGCAGCAAATCACTGATGCATTTTGATGAAGTCATGAAACTGCGACTCAAAATGTTACTGATTGCCGTTGCTATCTCTTTTCTCATTTATAAAGCAGTAACTTGGCGTGTCGGCTTGTCTGTATGTCTGTCTGTCCGCAAAACTTTACGATTAGATAAACGTGAAGATATGGGCAAGTTAGCTCTTTCTTTGAACTTCCTTCTTACAGGGTGTTCCAAAATCATGGGCCTAAAGCCGAAAAACTTACGAGGTAAAAGTAATTTATCGAATTGACCTAACCAACTGTTAGTTAGTTGCATAAGTAGGCTTCCTTGCAATATGCATATTTACTGGAGTGAAACTCCCAACATCTTTAAGGTGGCTGAGGCTCATTCAATGCCACTTGCAATCATGACATGCGAGAAGCGAAATGGCACTACGAAACTAACTATGAATTTTATAGTATCCGTATAAAAGGCTATTAGACGATACAGAAAAGATGAATCGATCAAAGACAATCCCTGAGGTTATAGAAAGGACAGTGTTTCCGAAGATAAGACTATTGAAATGGTTCATTTCTGAGTAGATAGCGATCCTGCGTGACCCATCAAAAAGGCAAAGGCAAATGGCAAAGGAGCAGGACTTACCGAGGTTATCTGTATTGCGGATTGTCAAACTAAAGCTTTATGGAAGACAGACAGCTTCGCAGAAGGCTATCAATCCTTTGACGACCATGGCACTCGCCGGTGGGTGCCACTGTGACTGGCACATGGGACCATGGCACCCAATGTTGGGTGCCACCATGTTTTTTCCTTTGTTTGCTTATTTCAAACTTATTTAATACTTTAATATTTGTTAACAAACTTCATGGTATTTATATCCAACATGGTCCACGTGAATGTTCTATAGAAGCTTATTTGTTACAAATATATAGTCAATGGAGTAGTACTGAAAAGGCCTAGATAATTTGGCAAGACTTGTGTGTCCTGGAAACATTGGAGGCAGTACACAGAATACCTGTTTTGCGATCATGTGACCGCGCGGTCGATCCCTTCAAACCCAAGTACCTTTGATGTTATACGAATTCCTACTACTTACACTATTACCAAAATTCTAACCTGTATTGCTTCCAAACCCGAAGTGCAACTCTAAGCCTTAGTTTATATAAGATGAATTAAGATCTGTTGCTTGTGTTATGCGGAAATATTGCTAACTTTATTAGGCCAGATAAAGTAGTTCCTCCTGGGACCATTGCACCCACCGATGGGTGCCAGTCGCGCACGAAAAAAAGGGTGGGGTCCCATGGGCGCGTCACGTCGAAATCGGCATTGTCGTCAAAGGGTCAAACGATACAGAGAAAAAGATTCAATCGAAACAAACAAGGAAGGGGTAGACAAACCAGTGTTCCAAAAGATAGGAGCATTAAAATGGTCTGTTTGCTAGTCGACTGTGATTCTGGGTAACCTATCAAAGAACGGCAAAAGAGCAGGACTTATCGTTGTTGTCAGTAGGGCGGATCGTCAAAGAAGCCCCATTACCGTTCATATCATATGCAAAAATGACGCTTCACTATCGATCTAAACAAAGAAAGCATGGCCAAAAAATGCAGAAAGTTGCCAGCTCTTGGATAGAAACAATCCCCATAGTTTTCTCAAGCGAAAAATTCTATGGAAAACCATTTCTCAACAAAATACAACGAACGCATTTGGGCTGTCCTACTTTATATAATTCGCTAAGTGTGTCTGTTGGTGTACCGGACTCCGCCCACAGGGGGCGGGGGGGTGCGCGATAGAAATTTTAGGTCGCAGATTCATAACTCCTGTTCCAGTGGACCCAAAGCGTTCAAAATTGGTGGGAGTACAGGGGGCGGCATGGAAACACTTATGGCAGGNGGGGGGGGGGGGGGGGGGGTACCACACTCCTCTCACAAGTGGCGGGGCGTGCGCGATAGAAATTTTAGGTCACAAATTAATAATTCCTGCTCCAGTGGTCCCAAAGCGTTCAAACTTGGTAGTACAGGAAGCAGGATAGGAGCACTGATGGTGATAACATTTAGAAGGAGCCGATAAAGAGCCTTGAAAGGCAAGAGCCACAGGAACCGTTACTTACTTCCTGTTAATGGCAGAGCTTTGGCACTTCGGAAAACTGTTAGGGACTGATAGAACCTGATAGGAGGCGAGAGACAACAAGCCTACAAAGTCTTTCATGCTAACAACTGAGCATTCCAGTAGATAGTGCAGGATGTGAAGGGACCGAAGTTAATTAGTGATAAGGACAGATAATAACAAGAGAGCAAGCGTTGCAATCCCTTTCGTGCCAACAGTGGAACCTTTTCAAAGCAGGAACTGATAACGACTGATAAGAACTGATAAGGGGCCTTCGAGAGCCAAAGGGTATTTACGATCGAACAAGGACTCTTTGATGCTGTAAATGCTGCAATAGCGACCGATCAAGGACATTTCTCCATAACGAAATGAGAATTTTGGTAAACATAGAACGTGCATTCTCTCAAAAAAGTTGCTATAGGAACAGTTGGAAGCTGTTTCTTGAGGGGTCACTGGCAAGGGTAAGGCGATCGTGGTTTCGACGGCACCGGAATGAAAATTGACAAAGACCTGAAAGACCTGTATTCAAAGGGCATACTGATGGACGTAATGAAGTAGTGATACAACTCCGCTTCCTGAGACTGCTCGTAGTTCTTCCAGCAGGACGGTACTCCAGAGCCAACCTCGCTCACGAGTGGTGCCGACGTAAAATGCCCGTCTTCATTAGCGAAGAGAAATGGCCTTCCTGCGTCCCAGATCTTGGT